CCCGGTGGGGGCCCGCGCCCCGTCCTTCCCGGCCGGCTGCGGCCAGGGGTGCTCGCCGGCTCGGTGGGTGGAGAGCTGCTCGCTGCTCTGGGTGGGCAGAGGGTTGGGATGGGGTCGCGTTCCTCTTGCTGTACGTCTGGCGCCCGTTCTTGTGGCATCTCGTTCTTGCGGGGACCTGTGTTTGATACCACGGGCAGTTCTGGAGTATGTGTTTTCCCAGTGCTTTCCGCTGTGGAAACGGAGTCAAGGTACATGGTTACTTTTAATACTTACAATTCTTGTTAATTCTCTTTTTTGTAGACGTTCATTTGCATGTTTCCTACTTCTGATATGTTTCGTGATTCAACTCTTTCTCATTTCTTTCTTAAACATAATTTTATGATTGGCTACTGTATTTCATTTTTCTAAAGCACTCCAGTCCTTGGAACTTCACAACTGAGCGAGTTGCCTCCTTGTTTCCCCAGGCCCCTTGGGGATGCCTGTTGACTTGCTGCATGTCCACCTTTAGCACCCTTGTTCTGAGGTCATGGAGAGACTCTTGAGCTTCTGAAGTCGTGCTTTCGTTGAACAAAGTGGTGCTTTATTGTCAGATAAAGACTCTCAAGGAGGATAAAGGGAGAGAATTATGAAATAAGCAAGAGATAGAGAAGTCCCTTTTTGGGAAACAGGAACAAGTTTTACATGTTTGTTGTATGTGTTAGTGCTTTTTTGCATATTTGAAAGACTCCTTCCAAGCAGTAATATAGGTGTGAGCTTGTTGTTTATCTTGTATTTAGACATTTAGTTGAAGATAAAACTGCTGGAGTGCTTTGCATCTTTCTGTACTTCAGTTGTCTTTAATAATCATATAATTAAAACCGTTTATTGTGCTTTCAGGTTGCAGGTATTGATACAATACTGTGTTGCTCTTAAGTTAAAATACTTGATGAATGCAGAATGATGCTAGAATGATACTGTACAGTGGTTGGAAAACTAATTTCTGTAACAGCCTCCAAAATAATGTTGCATAGTACCATTTTTTCATATTTTCTTTTTCTGTTTAATCAAGTTGTGTATTCCATCATTATTGATATACTTCTCACTTATCTCTTAGGTTTACAAAAGATACTGCCAGGTTCAAGGATGAATTAGATATTATGAAGTTCATTTGCAAAGATTTTTGGACAACTGTATTCAAAAAACAAATAGATAACCTAAGGACTAATCATCAGGTACTAATGCTGTAGAATAAGATTTAACTTACAAAATCAGTAACAGTTTTAAGTTACTAGCACATTCTTTGTTTTTCTTGGTCAAAAGAAGAAACCGGTTTAAGAAGGTTTAAGTACCTGATAAGAAACCCAAAAGGTTCTTTAATTGTTTTGTTTAAAAAGCATGTTTTTAAGGTTCATGGTGGCATGTAGCCTCAGAAGACAATTTAATAATTGCTTGTGATGTCTTTATTGTTTGAAAAGACTAAATACTTTGAATTTCATATGTGCTGTTGTAGAGTTAGAAACTGACAGGACAGTAACAGTTACAGTTGAATAACACTTAAATAGGAACTTTTTAATGTATCTCCCAATACATTTTAGTAGAAAACCAGTGTGAGAAAGTGATATTGCTGTCTTAACATCTACTTAAATAGAATGGTTACTTTGAAGTAATTTTTTTATTTTGAAAAATTGACAGTTTTCAGCAGTTGACACACTTAGTTGTACCCTACTGAACATGCTTGTATGAGAGACAGCTGAAAGAAAAACTTGCCAAATTTGCATGTTGGTGATATTAATGGAATCATAGAATGGTTTGGGTTGGAAGGGACCTTTCAAGGTCAGCTGGTCCAGCCCCCCTGCAGTGAGCAGGGACATCCTCAACTAGATGAGATTGCTCAGAGCCTCGTCCAACCTGACCTTGAATGTTTCTAGGGATGGGGCTTCTACCACTTCTCTGGGCAACCTTTGCCAGTGTTTCACCACCCTCACTGTAAAAAATTTCTTTCTCACATCTAGTCTAAATCTCCCCTCTTTTAGTTTAAAGCCATTAACTTTTTTCCTATTGCTACAGGCCCTGCTAAAAAGTCTGCCCCCACCTTTCTTATGGGCCTCCTTCAAGTATTGAAAGGCTGCAGTAAGGTCTCCCCAGAGCTTTCTCTTCTCCAGGCTGAGTGACCCCAACTGTCTCAGCCTTTCTTCATAGGAGAGGTGCTCCAGCCCTCTAATTTTTGTGGCCCTCATTGCATTGTATCTACAACAGCCACATTTCTTAAAGCAAGACCAAAATAACTTAAGGAGTCATTTTACTAGAGTAAAAAAATCTTTTTCCTTCTGAATTACTTGTTTTTTTTATGGCCATTTTCTTATTGTATCAAAGTAGGAACAAGAGAATTTGTACAAGGATTGTGCCAAATAAAATAGGTTTTATTTTTCAGTGAGCTGTTTATCAAGTAATAACTTTAACAGATAATAATTACCTTAGAAATCTGTTTTTTAATTCAAAGAGTGCTGCAGTATTGAGCTTAGGTCTCAATTGTATATGCAGCCTTAATTTAATTTCAAGGGTTATGAACTTCCAAAATAGCACAGTCATTAGCAAATAAATTAAAATGACAGGTGTAGATTAAGCTATACTGTGTTCATACTTAGTTTATTAAAATGCATATTGTGGCACAAAATTGTAATGTAGAAAAAAACTAGACTTTCAATTTGATCATCTGCTGGGTCTTGTTGCCTGTGCCACTATTAGAGAAGATAATTCTCACTGAGTCAGAGAATAAGAATAGTGAATTGCATACCAAGTGAAGATTTAAGATTTGAATGTAAAAACTGATATATTAAAATTCTGATAGATTAACAAAGACCTTCTAACATGGAACTATTGTTTCTGAGCCCTGGAAACCCTCTTTCAAGAGGAATGTAAATAAACTTTTTTTTTTTTAGGGTTAACTGATCGTATTTTTATCTGGGGGTTTTTGTTGTAAACTCACAGTTAAGTATCTTTTGTTTTGATGTTTCATATAAGTAATACAGTTTAAACTTAAATCACACATGCTTTAATCTAAAATGTAATTTTCAACCTGAGAACATTTATATTGTATCTGCAAATTAAATCCTTGCACATAAAATGTTGATTACATGTTCCTGCATATTCAACTAACCCCCCCCCCTTTTTTTTCCTTTTTTTTCAACAGGGTATTTATGTCCTTCAAGACAATAAATTTCGTCTCTTGACACAAATGTCTGCAGGAAAGCAGTATTTGGAACATGCACCAAAGGTACTCGTTAGTTTTATCCTTGGGATCTACCAGTTTGATTTGAATTATCTTGATTGATTAATAATAACTTTAAATTTTGTAATTGAATGGATACGAACTCTTCAAAAGGACAGCTTAAAGTTTAATCTCCAAAACCTATTTGGAAGATGCTATTTGTTACCTAGAACAAGCTTCTGAGATTATATGAACATTCAGAAAAATCTTCTACCAATTAAAAATAGTTCTGAGAGTAGATGCTAAATTAGGGTAGTATTTTAGGTAAGTTAAATCTATGCCTCTGCAGAACCTCTAGTAAAGCACTTTGGTTCAGGTGGACGTAAGAAATGGGGTATTCAATTCAATTTTATACTTTCTTAATTCTTGATCTTCTTAGTCATCACAGTTGTGGGCTGCTGTCCTTGGGGGTTTTTTTGGTGTTGGGTGAGCTGTTTCTTCTAAATATCTGCAGGGGCTTGCATTCTGAGATGTGGCCTGTGCAAGAATGCTCTCTTGGACTCTTTCTTCTCTGACTTTAATGCTAGTTGCTAATTTCAGCCAAGTCTTGGGAATAATTGTTTTAAAGTTAAGTTCCTACATGTTTAATGGAAAAAGAAACAAGTGACTTGAGATAGTGCCTCTAGCAAGAGAAATCTGTATTGTGAGCTCCACTGTACCAAATATTGGAGCTTTCATCTGTTAAAGACATGATGAAGTCTCTTAAGCACGGTAACAAAACCTCCATAGTTTTATATTGTCCAAGTGTTAAGTCTTGTTCTTGAGTACTTAGTTTCAATCTTTAGCAAGGAGCTTCACCCTTGATGCTTGCTTAAATTACAACTTTTTATTTAGTATTTAGCATTTACCTGTGGATTAATCAGAGGAGGACTATCAAATTTGGGAATAAAGAGTATTGTAACAGCTGAAGTTTCATCAATGCCTGCATGTAAGTAGTTCTTGGAGTATTCAATTATTAGCTCACTTGGTAACTTTCCTTACTGACTTCATCTCTGTATAAGCATTTATCAGGGTGGGATTAGTTTGAAGCTGCTGGGCCATAGGAGTCAGTATGAACTTCAGGATATGGCTTGTCACTAAATGCTTTAGTGTTCAGAAAATACAGAGGGTGAACCTCCATGATGCTGAGTGGAAAGCAAAATGAAAAAATAGTATTTACATTTGGAAGCATGAAATCCATAAGGATGTACGTCCAGAAGGCTGTTTGAACAAGTGAAGATAAAACCAATCAGATACATGGTCTCCCTCTCTCTCCAGAAGTCATTAAGAAAGTTAATAAGTGAAGTCTGTTGTAACTATTCAAGCTGCTTAAGGTGGATTTAAAAATTTCCACAGACTTTGCACAAATTTTAAATTTAGCTTACAAAACTATTGTGCTGTGGGACATGGCTAGACTTAAAGGAAAAAAAGGAAAGAAAAAGCTGTTCAGCTGGAGTTAAATTAAATGCTAAATTTAAATAATGGCTAGATTGTTCACAATTAAACCATAAGATTGAAATGTTCCTTACTATTTCTTTTAACAAACTAACAAAAGAAAATATTTAGGTGGAAAAATAACTCATAACAATGAAACTTTGATCTGACTTCGCTTTTTCTTTCCAGGTAAATTTCAGGTGATGATACAGAAGATGTAGAGCACATTCAAATCTGGGTATCTACCTTAAAAATCCTTTGTGTGTGGATTCAGTATCTTGGTTCAGCTTTGTATGTAGCTTGTAAATTTTAGCAGTGTGCAGCACAATTCCAAAATATATAATAAATGTTCATCAAAATAACTTAACTCTATCCTTGTATCTTGGTATGAAATCTATTCTATACCAAGCTATTAATGTCCACCTGGTAAGAACTGCCTACTCCAAAATTTTCAGCAAAATATTTCAATTGCCAGAACAGCACATATGGAAGACCAGAGGCACGTTTTGAGAAGAGTAAAAGCCTGTCCAAGACTAAATTGCACTAAGAAACTAATGTGTTTCATGTCACCTAACACGAACGCCCATTTGCCACCTTTCCCTATTCACTCTGACCTGTGAGGCAGCAATTGTTTGTATTCTGAGGAAGCCACTAGCACGTGAACCAACAGCCTTCATTAACCATGTGCAGTGGAGGGTTAGTTCCTTTGTAGGAATGATGCATGGCAGTAAAAAAGAACTTACTTCTATATAGTTTAACATTTTTTCCTATCTCCCTAAAAATAGCAGCTGTTTTTTGTGTCAGAATAAATTTACAGCTAAGGTCATCTATACTGGCCAAAGAAGAAAATTTCTTTCAGCTTGCTGTCCATAAACTCAATATTAACGTAATTGTTTTTAATTGCTAGCTACAACTCCCTTCTGTAATGAGTGTGTGCAGGAAGATGATTAGGCCTGCAAGAAGCTATAAAGACATCAGCAAGACTCTTGAGGACATTCGGGTTTGCTAGATACTACTTGTTACAAGATTTGCATAACAATACGTATTTTGCTGTAGGTAAGCATGAAAACATCTTGTTAAAACTTTTAATGAATTTTGCTGTAAGACTTTCTGTTGGCAGGTTGAGGCATTATACTTTCAAATGAATCACCGTAGGAACTTAACGGTGTTTATTCAGAAGTGTGAGAATGCTTTGTGATAGTGATTCGGTTTCTACTTTGAGACCAGTGAATAACAGGCTAACTAGAAAAGCTAACATGTTAAAATAGCACCTTTGATTGTTGTAACCACTTTTTGTGTTGGGAAACCTGTGTGTTGTCCAGTTGCGTGCTGGACAAGAACAGTGGAAGCTGTTCTTCCTCAAGCTCTAGGGAAGGTCTGTTTGTAATAGATGAAGCCTTTTCTAGTCAGCTGTTACAAGCTGGTAAGCTGTAGATTATATATGTGATAACCAGGGGTTTATTATACTTGAGCTTAAGATGTGACCAAATTCTGATCTTTTCAGGTACTGTGAATGCTAGTTCAGATTAGTTGTAGCTGAGTAACTTGACAGTTCTAGGAAACATCTCGTGTAGAACTCAAACCAGCAGAATGCTGTCCCACTGTTTATAGAACTAGCAAAGATGAAAGTAACTACAGTAGTATGGTACGTGTTTGACTGACAACACTGGGTTCTTATACTGGTAGTTTATATGAAGACTGTGGTTATTGTTCACCTTTATAACTCAGATTTGTTTGAAATTGTAGGGATAGAGAATCACCTAACTAATGTTCTTGCATTTCCTGGGTTCTTCATTTGCCAACTCATCCTGCTTTGAACATGTTGAAAATGTTACTAATGAGACTAGAAATAACTTGCGCTCTATGTCTAATAGATGGACATTTCAATGCCATCACATTTTAGGGATCTGCAGTGTGGTAGACATTCAGTATCATCATATATAGAATCATTGTTATTTGCATCTCCAGAATTAAAACTCTAGTTGTTACTGTAATTCACTTTGATTTTTTTCACTTGACAGTTAAGACTGTGATTCCAGATGCAAAAGTGCAAATCATTGAAAGACATATTAAAGATTTATCAATAACTGGTAGTGGTTAAAGATTATTTTTAATAGGGAGGGGAGGGACTTAAATTCTGCAATATACAGAAAGCAGATGTCAGTTAATACTGTGTATCAAGTTGCTGCTATCAGCAGAATTAATTGTTCCTTTAACATGGATTTTCAGTTGTTGAAGATAATTAGAAGCAGAAGTTATTCATGTACCAAGCAGATGTTGATACTCTTGGTGAAGCACTCTGCATTAGCTATATAAATAGGCGAGCTAATGTATTTGTCAAGATACCATGCAGAAAATAAATGTGTTCTGTTTAACAAATGCTTCTATTAAAAGCATTGAATACAGTTGTATAACTTTCACTGGTTTCTGCAAGTGTTTACTAAGAGGAAGTAGCAATGGTTATGTTTTACTAAAATGTTTCAGTAACTTACTGGCTATCCTTGAACTGCTTAGCAATGCTTAAGCTCAGGAACCAGAGCTTCAGTCCTAGTTTACACAACTAGGTAATTAAAACTTTGTTATTTGAATCCACTCAAGGTAGATAGCTAGATTTCTATAGTAAGGCTGCTGTTACACAGTATGAAGAATAGAACAGCCACAATGCTTAAGAACATTTCTGAAAATACTTCAGTTTTATTAAAAAAGCCCTCAATACATGTGTGTTAGATAAAGAGCAATAATCTATAATGTAACCTCAGACTTCACCTAATAGCAGTGTCCACAGGATTACTCAGATGGTAGAAATTTCAAACCAAGAATGTAGTTTGCAGAGACAGTAGCTTGAGAGATGATGCCAGACACTTCATTGACCATTTTACAATGGTGGTGATGATGATATCAGAGACATTTACAATCTCATTCTAAAGCTCAGCTTAAATTAATATAAGTTATTCACAGCTGTCCCAAATGCATTATCGTGAGGGTGTTCTGAAGGAGCTGTATAGCACTTCAGGTCTGAACAGTGCAGTGTCTTGCTGTTAACTCTGATAACGCTGCTTGTACTATGGCAACACAAAATTCTCAAAACAGTCTAGGAAGGCTCATCAGCCAAGTCACGTTGATCGAAGTACCTAGTGGAGAGAAGTGGAACATGGTTAGAAACCTCTAAGGCAACATAGTCCTTACTTTGCTCTGAGTTGCTAGACCCCTTGCTTTCTCAATCTGTCAGTGTTTCTATCTTAATTATAGCTTTGCAGTTCAGGGGGCTCAGCTGAGGAAACCAATAAACCTACTTTACTCTTGGGTATATCTTAAGTCCTTTTAGATCAGTATATTTGCTACATAGGCCCAGGGTACTTTAATTGACTTCTACTTAAATAAAAATCCAGTTTAGGACAAGAGTAATCACACATTATTCAGGACATACTTTATTGGTTTTTATATGTAAGTTGCATTACCTGCTAACTAAGCAGATTAGCAAGTTCAGAGCTGATATTTGTTCTTCATTCTTGTTCTCCTGAAAGGGAAATAAGTATTAGAACAGTTCTTTGGTTACCTGTGTCAAATAGAAAAGCTGTTGCATGCCATGTTATGTGCTTGTAGTCTTCCCTTCGTTCTCAAGCAAACTTAGGACATGACAAATTACTACCAAGACTTCAAGAACTGAAAAATCATCTTAATAATCTGTTAAGTTCAGCAAGTCCTTAGCACAATGTTATTAAATTTTACCTCTAGTACTCTGACTTCTGAGCATCGTCTTGCCAGCTGTCGAATAAGGGAGTGAGCTTCAGGTAGCAAAGGTTTTTCAAGGCATGCCAACAGTGCATAAAGCCATCTACCCTGAGTGGATTCAAATAACAAAGTTTTAATTATGAGCATTTCCTTGAAGTTTCATGCAGTTCTTGTTATGTAGAGCAGGCCTGGAGCATGAGTCTCAAAACAAAATTGCATTTATGTGCTACTGCCAGAACTGAAAAGCTTGAAAGCCAAAACAGACACTACACAGTAGAATTTTGTGCCTCTAGGTAAGTTTCTTGTGAGCAGCAGTACTGGATTTCCTGATATTTTTTTTTCCTAAGGGAAGTATTATTTTAGTAGTATCTGAAGATTATTACTTATTATTATTATTACATTTTAACTTCACAAACTGGAAAAACATTCCTGAAGAATGAATGTATCAAGTCAAGATCTTTGTGGAATTAATTGTTAGATCAACTTTAAGATTTATACCACTGAAAACATCTTTTGCATTTTACTTCACTGAATCCTACTGCATTCTTACAAACATAACTTATGCTACCAGTCTAACATCTTAATTTAATTCCAGGGAACTTTTGTTACAGGAATAAACTAAAAGTCAATGTGCATATTCTTTGGAACATATTGGTTAAAAAGAAAACAGTCCTACAGAAAAGGACAGAACATGAAAGGGACTCAAACAGTGATGTTTACTATTATGGAAGTAATTTTTCATTACTCTCTTGCTTTGTGGTACTGACTGAAATGAGATGCAAGCACCAAGGTCTTTTGTAGATACAATGCCATTACACAGCTAGTCCAGCTACTTATGGCCAAATTCCGTGGTAATGTACCCTGTCAATCAGAATTTCCTACTGGGTTTGATTTGCCACCACAACACAGCCAAGTTTTCTGGTCTGTGCTGCACCTGGAAAGATTAAACATGTCTGCCAGCACACTGCCATGCATCTCCAACTAAAATGGTGGTGTCAGGAAATAGTGTGCAGCACCCTGACAGCTTAAACTGGTCAGAACCAAAGCTGCTGCAGTCTGCATGGTGTCAGGAAATAGTGTGCAGCACCCTGACAGCTTAAACTGGTCAGAACCAAAGCTGCTGCAGTCTGACCCTCCTCCCCAGTGCCAATACTCATCTAACCTTGTGGTTTAAGTTAGTGTGGGGTGCGACAAAAAGGGGAGGGGATTTGGGCAGTACTTGGTAGATCTGTATCTTTTGTGTTTTGTAATTAGCCTTCCAAAAAGTTCTGTGAATACTCATTTTAGTATCTAATGGAAGAAAGCTTTGAAGGTAACTGGATATGATACATGCATCTAGAGAACTCTTTAGAAAGATAAAATAATTTCATAGAAAACTATGAATGATTTATCCCTTGTTTAATGTGTTCATATGCAAGTTAGAATAAATTAAAAATTACCAGCTCTGGAGTAAATTTTTTCTCTCCAAACCAGCTTATCAGGTATTCTAAGACACTGGTTACTGTTGCCTTCAAAAGAGGAAGAGAAAGAGACAAAATACCTGTAGTGTTTTGTTTTGCTGTCCTTCTACCCAAAGCATTATATTATAGAAAAAGCAATGTCATTTAAAAAAAATATAACCAGTATGTATTTCTA